AGCGTGCATACCCCCATTTCGACGATTTTCGTGTGCTATAGCAAACCATTTTTTGGGTGATCCGGATTCAGACATCAAAAATGCCAAAAAATTTTGTGTAGGCCCGTTAAGACCTTGGCTATACAGCTGGTTGTCCATCATGACCAGTACGACCCATTTTCAAGGTCAAACGAGCCTTGAAGCGCGCATACCTTGCATTTAGACGACTATCGTGAACCATAGCAAATTATTTTTTGGGTTATCCGGATTCCGACGTCAAAAATGCCAAATTTTTTTGTGGACGTCCTTTAAGACCTTGGCTAAGCATCCAGTTGGCCTTTACGGCCATTTCGACCCATTTTAAAGGTCAAACAAGCCCCGAAGCGAGCATACCCCTCATTTCGATGATTTTCGTGTGCTATAGCAAACCATTTTTTGGGTGATCCGGATTCAGACGTCAAAATTTCCAAAAAATTTTATGGACGTCCGTCTAGACCTTGGCTATGCATCCGGTTGGACCTCATGGCCATTCCGACCCGTTTTAAAGTTAAAACGAGCCCCAAAGCGAGCATACCCTTTATTTAGACGATTTTCATGTGCTATATAGCTAACCATTTTTAGGGTGATCCGGATTTCGATGTCAAAAATACCAAAAAAATTTGTGGATGTTCGTCAAGACCTTGGCTATGCATCCGGTTGGACTTCACGGCTATTTAGACCCATATTAAAGGTCAAACAAGCCCCGAAGCGCGCATACCCCCATCTAGACGATTTTCGTGTGCTACAATTTTTTGGGTGATCAAGATTACGATGTCAAAAATGCCAAACTTTTTTGTAGACGTCCGTCAAGACCTTCGTTATGCAGCCGGTTGGCCCTCACGGCCAGTCCAACCCATTTTAAACGTCAAACGAGCCCCGAAGCGAGCATATCCCCATTTCGACGATTTTCATGTGCAATAGCAAACCATTTTATGGGTGATCCGGATTCCGACGTCAAAAATGCCAAAAAAAATTGTGGACGTCCGTCAAGACCTTGGCTATGCAGCCAGCTTACCATCACGGCCAGTCCGACCAGTTTCAAGGTCAAACGAGCCTGAAGCGCATACCCCCTCATATAGACGATTTTCGTGTACTATAGCAAACTATTTTTTGGGTGATCCGGATTCTGATGTAAAAAATGCAAAAAAAAAATTGTGGACGTCCGTATAGACCTTGGCTATGCATCCATTTGGACCTAATGGCCAGTCCATCCCATTTTCAAGGTCAAACGAGCTCCAAAGCGCGCATACCCCGCTCTTTAGACAACTTTCATATGCTATAGCAAACCATTTTTAGGGTGATCTAGATTTCGACGTCAACAATTCTGAAACTTTTTGTGGATGTGCATCAAGACCTTGTCTATGCATCCAGTTGGCCCTCAGATCCAGTCCAACAAATTTTCAAGGTCAAACTAGCCCTGAAGCGCGCATACACCCATTTAGATGATTTTCGTGTGCTAGCAAACCATTTTTTGGGTTATCTGAATTCCGACGTTAAAAATGCCAAACTTTTTTGTTGACGTCCGACAAGACCTTGGCTATGCATCTGATTGGTCTTCACGGCCATTCTGACCAATTTTAAAGGTCAAACAAGCCCCGAAGCGCGCATACCCCCATATCGACGATTTTAGTGTACTATTGGGTTATCCGGATTCAGACGTCAAAAATGCCAAACTTTTTTGAGGACATTCATTCGTCAAGACCTTGTCTATGAAGCCGGTTGGCCCTCACAACTAGTCTGACCCATTTTGAAGATTAAACAAGCCCCTAAGTGAGCATACCCCTCATTTCGACGATTTTCGTGTGCAATTGCAAACCATTTTTTGGGTGATCCGGATTCTGATGTTAAAAATGCCAAAAAAATTTGTGGACGTCCGTCAAGACCTTGGCTATGCAGAAAGTTAGCCATCACGGCCAGTCCGACCCATTTTCAAGGTCAAACGAGCCACAAAGCGAGCATACCCCCATTTAGACGATTTTCGTGTACTATAGCAAACCATTTTTTGAGTGATCCAGATTCCGACGTCAAAAATGCCAAAAAAAATTTGGACGTCTGTCAAGACCTTGAATATGCAGTCGGTTGGCCCTCACGGCCAGTCCGACCAATTTTGAAGGTCAAACGATACTCGAAGCGACCATACCCCTCATTTCGACGATTTTCATGTGCTAGCAAACCATTTTTTAGGTGATCCGAATTCAGACATCAAAAATTCTAAAATTATTTGTGGACGTCCGTCAATACCTTGGCTATGAAGCCAGGTTGCCATCACGTCCAGTACGAACCATTTTCAAGGTCAAACGAGCCCCAAAGCGCGCATACCCCTATTTCGACGATTTTCATGTGCTATATAGCAAACAATTTTTTGGGTGATCTAGATTCCTACATCAAAAACACCAAAAAAAATTTGGAGGTCCTTCAAGACCTTGTCTGTAGATGGTTGGCCATCACGGCACGTCCGACCCATTTTCAAGGTCAAACGAGCCACAAAGCGCGCATACCCCCCCCCCCCCCTCATTAAGATGATTTACGTGTGCAACCATTTTTTGGATGATCCTGATTCCGACGTAAAAAATGATAAAAATTTTAGTGGACGTCCGTTATACCTAGGCTATGCATCCGGTTGGACCTCATAGCCGCCAGTACAACCCATTTTCAAGGTCAAACGAACCTCGAAGCCCCTATTTAGACGATTTTCATGTCCTATAGAAAAACATTTTTAGGGTGATCAGGATTCCTACGTCTAAAATTTCAAAATTTTTTGGATGATATATGAGATGAGATATGAGATGAAAAGATGATATATGAGATGAGTTATGAGATGAGTGAGATAGGAGATGAGATATAAGATGAGATAGGAGATAAGATATGAGATGAGACATGAGATGATATATGAGATGAGATAACAAATGAGATATGAGATGAGATATGAGATGAGTTAAGAGATGAGATATGAGATGATATATGAGATGATATATGAGATGAGATATGAGATGAGATATGAGATGAGAAATGAGATGATATATGAAATCAAATATGAGATGAAATATGAGATGAGACATGAGATGAGATATGAGATGAGACATGAGATGATATATGAGATAAGATATGAGATGAGATAAGAGATGAGATATGAGATGAGATATGAGATGAGATATGTGAGATGAGATAAGAGATGAGATATGAGATGAGTTAAGAGATGAGATATGAGATGAGATATGAGATGAGATATGAGATCAGATATGAGATGAGATATGAGATGAGGTATGAGATGAGATATGAGATGATATATGAGATGAGATAAGAGATGAGATATGAGATCAGATATGAGATGAGATATGAGATGAGATATGAGATGAGATATGAGACGATATATGAGATGAGTTATGAGACTATATATGAGACGATATATGAGATGAGATATGAGACTATATATGAGATGAGATATGAGATGAGATATGACATGAGATATGAGATGACTATATATGAGACGATATATGAGATGAGATATGAGATGAGATAAGAGATGAGATAAGAGATGAGATATGAGATGAGATATGAGATGAGATATGAGATGAGATATGAGACGAGATATGAGACGAGATAAGAGATGAGATATGAGACGAGATATGAGATGAGATATGAGATGAGATAAGAGATGAGATATGAGATGAGATAAGAGATGAGATAAGAGATGAGATAAGAGATGAGATAAGAGATGAGATATGAGATGAGATATGAGATGAGATATGAGATGAGATAAGAGATGAGATATGAGATGAGATAAGAGATGAGATATGAGATGAGATATGAGATGAGATAAGAGATGAGATATGAGATGAGATAAGAGATGAGATAAGAGATGAGATATGAGATGAGATATGAGATGAGATAGGAGATGAGATATGAGATGATATATGAGATGAGATAGGAGATGAGATATGAGATGAGATATGAGATGAGATAAGAGATGAGATAAGAGATGAGATATGAGATGAGATATGAGATGAGATAAGAGATGATATATGAGATGAGATATGAGATGAGATAAGAGATGAGATATGAGATGAGATATGAGATGAGATAAGAGATGAGATATGAGATGAGATATGAGATGAGATATGAGATGAGATATAAGATGATATATGAGATATGATATATGAGATGTGATATGAGATATGAGAGATGAGAGATGATATGAGATATGAAATGAGATATGAGATAATATATGAGAGATGAGATATATGAGATGAGATATTAGATATGAGACGATATAGGAGATATAAGAGATGAAATAAGATATGAGATAGGAGATGAGATATGATATATTAGATGAGTTGTGATATAGGAGATATAAGAGGTATAAGAGATGAAATAAGATATGAGATAGGAAATGAGATGGGAGATGAGATATGATATATTAGATGAGTTGTGATATATGAGATGAGATATAAGATATGAGATGATATTTGAGATATGAGATGTGAGATATGAGATGAAGAGAGATTATATATAAGATATGATATATGAGAGATGAGATAAAGATATTAGATATGAGATGAGAGATGAGAGACTAGAGATGAAATGTAAGATGTGAGAAGAGATATGAGATATGGACATATGAGATGTGAGATATGAGAAGGAAAAGGAAACAGTGGAAGATTTAACTAATTTTAAGAAGATTTAAAACATTAAAAATCAATTGAAAACGGGTCCGGAATTTATATTAACATTTCGAGAAAGATTTGAAAGCACTCGAAATGTCATGCATTTATTCGATAATTATCTATTTTACTAATTATTTTAAGCAACTTAATCAAAATTGAGAAAATAACAATTTTAAAGCTCAAAATCATTCTTTAAGGGAAGATAAATACTAGAAGGGGGCATTGCTTGAGCGAAATATCTCAAAGTAATTCAAGGAAGACAACTAGTACTTATTCAAATTTTATGAAAATATAAGTAATCGATTAGAAGTGGTCATCTTTTGGCGAATTGGTTTAGGAAAAACCTTAAAATTAAACAAACAAATAAACAAGCAATAACAATCAAAATAAATACAAGATGAAGAAGAGAAATTGGGCCCGAGTCTGGTTTTGTCCATCTGGGCCAGTACTTGGGCCTAATTTCATTTTGGGCTTTTGACTCATGTATATGTGGCCCAATTCTTCCTGTCATACCTGTCCAAAACTAACATAACAATTTGATTTTTAGTGGGCTTTAGGGTCAATCCTCCACCTGTCCTAGTCTAACAAATAATAATAAAAAAACAAAGGGGCTTAGGCCCGAAATAACAAAATACAATTTCTGAAATTTTGCGGGTTTGTTGGGCCCATTTATGCTGCATTTATACACAATATACAGCTGATGTAATTGGTGTATCACGCTGCATCTGCATATGTGGCCCAATTCTTCTTTTCGTGCCTGTCCTAAACTAACATAGCAGTTTGATTTTTTAGTGGGCTTCACTTTACGCCCAAACCTCCACCTGTCCTAATCTAACAAATAATAATAAAAGGCAAAAGGGGCTTAGGCCAAAGTAACAAAATACAATTTCTGAAATTTTGGGGGCTTTTTGTGCCCATTTATGTTGCATTTATACACAATATACAGCTGGTGTATATCGCCGTATCACGCTGTATATCAGTGTATTCTCGGTTCCCGACCTGTGCAAGACACTAGTGAATCAATTTCATATAATACTATTGTATTTTATCAATCAACCTTAGTGGATTAAAGAAAACGTACAACTCATATACCACACTTAAACAGTAAAAGAGATGTAGTTTTCAACTAATAATTTAAAGAGACAAACATTTGGGTCCTAAGCAATTAATGAAGAGATGGCATCCAAAGACATTATAGTAAGCTTAGCATGATTCTTTACACATTAAGAATTGAAGAAATTATCCTAAAACACATATAAAAAATGAAACAAGAGAGTACATACTAATTTAGACAATGAATCAACACAAAGCTTCACAAAATCCATCTCAAAACAAACACCTCATAACATAATAAACCCGCTTTATACCCACTCAAATAATTGATAAAGAAGTAAAATCTAGTCCAAACAATTGATATAACATCAGCAGGTTAGTAGTCAAGCAAATGCTGGTAATGTTTTAAGCAACTCTGACTAGAAACCAGTACCTTTTTTGTCATTTTATACCAGTCAAAATAATACCCAAGCATAGCAAGTGTAGTGGATGGTTTCGATGATTCCCAAATTACGCCATGTGGACTTAAGAAGCTCCAAAATTTCTTTAACTTCCTGGTTGGAAAAGATGAAGATAATTGGTCATTCAAACCTATAAATCGATTTTCCAAAGGAATGTACTCACATAACATCATCCGTTGCACTACTGTTCAAGATTTTACTATTATACACAGAGAACGGTTATTTTGTTCCTACAAAACAACTGGACCTCTATCCTAAGCAAGTAGGGCCTCGGCTATATGAATCCTCCCTGATCATAATTCATACCGTTCCATTTTAAGCTCCTTAAGACCCATATTATTTATAATAATTAAATAATAATAATAATAAGCTCCAGAAGTTCTATATATTTTTGAAATGCATATTCGTATAAGACTAAAGGACTCCTACAAATCACAAGACCTAAATTACTACTAACATGACTGAAACATAGTCCCAACTATATAAACCTTTTCTATTTTGACACAAGTACACAACATACCAAGACTGTAAATTCAATGACCCTTAAGAATATTACCTTCTTTTAAGAGAAAGGAGACATCCCAAGAGTACTACTTTCCAGTGTAAGAGACAAGATGATCATCTTTATCCTGACATTCAAGTGGGTTTTACTGACCTCTGTGAGCTTTTCCCTCATCTAAAACATCAAAAACACTGAGAAGTAGATTCCCGTATAATTTGACATTCAGGTGATAACCATCAGCACGGTGGCATACTTCACCAGTTAAGTCACCTCGAGCTGGCCTTTCTGCCAGTGGCATAGGGATCTCTCTCAAAGATTTTAAACATTATCCTTTGCATCTCTGCTGCAGGAGGAGGAAAAGACTGAAACAAAGAAGTGATACTTTTATGGCATATCATCTGGTATAGCTCAAAAAGAACCCATTCTCTTTGTGATATGGTATCAGGACATGGGTGTTCATAGTATATAGTATCAAAATGTCCATGGATTGGGGAAAAAAGAAGATGAGAGTTCATATAATAATGATGAAGAGCATCAAACAAGCAAACAAGAACAAAAATCAATTGAACTAATTCCATGGGTCAATAAGATTCTTTTGAAAAGAAGTCCATAGAAGTACAAGAAGATAAAACATGTCAATTTCCAAAAAATAGACACTTCCTTTTTTCTAACATGAAACCCCCGAGGGCCAGGGACAGACAATTCGCAACTCAACAGATAATGAACCTCCAATCTAAAAGATGAAAATCCTCTTAGCAACTCAACTTTAATTCTAAGTTATCCTATGATTAGACATATGATAATCAAACTTCAAAACAGAACACTCAAGTAAATCAAAAATGTATTTAATTTGTTTGAAAGAAGTGGAGTGCATTTGTAGTTCCAATCCATCTATTTAATATTTAACATACTTATTTTCGGCAATAAAATTAAGAAAATGAAATCCAACTAGGATCACCGCAAATTTACATTCATTGGTATCGACCATTAAGCAAATTGGTGAATCATGATTCAATTTGCAGTTCCCTTATAGAAAAGAATGATAGGTTAAATTATAATGTTGTTAGTTCGTTGTTTGTATAGATGTTGTAGGGTCTCATGCTTCCTGTCGCTGTTTGTTTAGATGATAGAGGGACATGTATTTCCTGGCTCTTCCTTTTATATTATAGGTAAACAAAAGAGATCCCTAAACTTCATTAAAGCATTAGTCAAAATGCGATCAGAAACTAACTAAACCAACTGAATGCATAATATTACTCAAAGTCGGAGATGCGGTATATGTTAAAGCATGTGCATCCACTGCATTCATATCCTTAGCCCACCACTCTGAGTTGAAGCTGAATAGAAGAGACCAGTATTTTCTTGAAATATGCAATCAGACCACTACTTCAAGTATGAATATTGCATTTCACTATTTTCAAAGAAGTTAACATATTATAAAGTTCAGTATTTGGCTATTTGCAAGGATGCATGACCAAACTAGAATTGCAGATACTTCAGTATTAGTAATAAATCAGAAATTTCTCTTCAGCAAAAGTGGGATAGAAAGAAATGTACACACCTCAGATTCTTCTATCTTAGCTAAAAGAACCCTTAGCTTATTTGCTTTTCACCCAGATTCCCCAACCCTATAACAGGATGATTTATAAGCCCCTCCTCCTCCAACATGTTTAACTGAACTGACAGAAAAAAGAATATGCAACAGAAATGTTAAATAATTTGTCGTATGAATTTAGTTTCATATATAAGCAACTTTGCAAAGCTTGTTACAACAATTACAAGACGTGAGCACGCACTTGTCTCTTTTAGTTTCATAAATAAAAAAGAAATGCTAAATACATTATCATATGAATTGAGTTTCATAAATAAATAACTTTGCAAAGCTTGTTACAGCAATTACAAAGAGGAGGGGAGGAAAAAAATTGAATCATCATATTAAGAGGGAAAGACAGCACTTACTTGTCTCTTTTGCCACTTATATGACTTTTTGTCGGAAAACTCGGTACATGAAATACATCATAACAATTCCAGTGGGATCAAGATTGTATACATCATTTACCCACTTTTCCAACCATCGCATTAAGGAGACCAAGTCTTGTCCTGACGTCCATGGCCTCCAGGAATCTGTACATATTAATCAGGTAAGAACCCAGTAAGCATGAAACTGTGAATTCCTAAACAACAGAGTAGGATCTTCAATATCTCTCTTCCCTCTTTATCTTCTAATGTATCCTTTTGGGAAATTTATCCCTTTCTGTTAGCTATCACTTTTATGATTTAATAATGAATGTCTAGCACTAGGAACACTATTTACATTATATACTCACTACCGACTGGCAACTGGTGGAGACTAGCACCATATACCAAACAAATCACCAACATAACAGCTCAAGGCACCTCTGTACTTTGATAATATTTGAAAACCTCTTGGCATAACACCTCAACATTAACTAACAGAAAAAATTACTGCTTATTAAGTTATTTCATTTCCTAATGATTTGCAATGGAACAGCAGGCAAGTAATCCCAACTTGTTGAGTTAAGGGCAAGAAACTAATAAGAAATCTATGCCATTACTGGTGTAAATCAAACAACAGAAGCTAGAAGCAATTTGACATCTGACATAAGGTAACAAGGTCATTCATTTTCCTACCTCCATCTGGACACGCATTGTCTCCAACGAACTGACCAGTACAGATAAATGTTGTGACTGGGTCATTACATTGTCACTTTTACTACGGCCCAGCTTCCTCATCAATCTAGATGTCTTCTCCTTCTATATGTCCTTTGAAGGTACAACGAGGCCTCTGTGCATACAAAATGCATATTAAATGCATTAAAGTAATCGGATGGGAGATGTTACAAGCCAAGAAACAGAAATACCCTAAAGATCCAGCAGCAGCCAGAAGGATCTCATATGCTGTTTCACGGAGATAATCATCGCCAATAGCTAGGAAGAAATACAGCCTGAAGTATAAGTATCTCCCATCCATCCATGTAAAAGCAAGAAAAGAATACATTTTGAAAGAAGATAATGAAATCTACAAGTGAAGTAGTGTAACCGATCAGGAAATACTGGAATAGAATAATATATTTAAGTGCTTTCTCATCAAATACTTGTTCCAGTAATCAATCTATCAATCTGGAAGTTCCTATTACGTGCCAACACATGTATTCAAGGCTTCAAACATTGTATAAAATCAAAGAATTCAAACATCAAAACGCAAAAAGAAGTACGGATTTAATATGAAGCTCCAAAACAAGCTCTTGCACCCCACCATAGGCTGTTTACAAAGTAGAGGTAAAATAAACTAGTTAAATGGATATGATGACCTCACTTCATTCAATTTCACATTTAACATATCGAGATATTCCCCAAACAGACTTCAAACCAAGAGGGCGCCACAGAAAGAAGTGAGGATCAAATGACATCAACTTGTCACTGATTTTCGTGCACAAGCACAGAACTTAACTTATCATTTGGTTAGGATTTATGAAAGATGAAATAAGCTTCAAACTTGAATACTATTGCTACTAGGTACGAGAGAAGTTATCACAGAAGAGTAATAAATACTTGAATGTTCGTTGAAGAAAACATTAGCGGGAACTCTTTATGCTTAAAAAGCACCAAATGAAAAAATTAGGGCTGTTAAAGATCAGAAATAAAACTTATATAACTATTTTCTTTTTAGCATAATCAAGTGAAAAACTTATATAACTATATAAGTTTTCTTTTTATAAACATAATCAATTGAATAGTGATTAGAGGAGAAAATAACAAAGAGCTATAACAAAATAAAATAAAATTTAAGCACTAAAAAGAGTTGCATCAAAATATCTGAGAATCAATAATCCGACAACTAGTTTTGTTTATGATAGTCAAAGGTCAGAAAAACATTAAACATGCATCAAGATAGTGCTAACTCTTTCTAATCTACAAAAAGAAAAAAAAACATATAGGATTACAGTTCTAAAAAATTTAATAATGCCCATCAGCTGGAAGAAGTTAGAAAATCAAAAAAATCACACAAGTGTGCTGGAGATTAGTGGTTTCTTATGCTCCTAATAAAAAGGGGACGGATATTCCCCCAATATCAAGCTACTACAGAAGTATGCCATGTTCACGACCTTGGTGCATTACTCGAACTGCAATTAACGTGGATGAGAATTGAAATCTATTTATCATTAGGATACAATGCTTCAGAGTATAGTGGTTAAATTCCCTTATTAAAAAATCCATTTATCATTGAGTGAAAATTGCACAGAAACTAAAGCAGTTAGACGATACATTTGCATCAATGTTGTTAATAGTTTCCTAGTCATGTGTCAGCACCCTAAGCACAAAGTAACCAGTAGTACAAATATAGACAGAGAGAAATCTCGAAGTACTCTTACCTTCCCGATCTTCTTTTTTTTTTTAAATGGTAACCATTACTCTCCCCATCTTTTATTTTTCCGGTATAACCAGTACTATAGATATAACAACTTAGAGTTAATAGACAAGCAAATTACAACCTAATACTGCCAAAATGAAATGGTCACACTTATGATAGAAGAAGTTACAGGTCCACCATACACATATACACCTATAACAAGCATGCTTACCAGTAGCAAATTACGGCAATCCAAGCACGAGATCAGCAGCATCATTGAGAACTCTTCTTGAATATCTTCGACTGTCAAGTTCATCTAGATCATCACCGTCATCAAAATCCTCAATGTTGTCAACTGTTAACTCTTGTTGTTGTGTGGAACTGAGATACTGAGATTTGGATAAACTATACAGCTCTTCAAATGGTTCAGTATCAATTGATCCTGACGTTGAGAGTGTTTGCAAAATTGATGATGTGGAAATATGGACAGGCAATCTTCCTGGAGGCAAGCCTGAGAGCTCATGATTTGTAGCTAGAAAGCATTCATCATTTGAACTTGCATTACTCGTAATACCAAAAGGAAACCGTCAAGAATGAAAATAAACATTGATAATTAAACACACTAAATAAAGTTCTGAAATAGGTAAAAAGTGCTGCACAACAATACCATATGGAATAATTCTATGTTGCAGTAGATAAACCTCTGAAAGTGGAACATTCACAAATAGTAACTATTCAACAGAAATTAATGTATGTGCAGAACATTCATAAAATAGTGACCATTGAACAGAAAATAATGTCTGTGCAAGTCTGAATATACCATATGAGTGAACAGAGTGTTGTGGTGATAATCTCAAATAACTTCAGATAGTTCAAGAAGTTCGCCAACTCAAAAAAAAAATCCTGACCTGATGATTGCAATCCATTTTAAAGCAAATATGTAGAGGCTATATTTTGGAGTTGACATTCCCTACCTTTTATTGCACCAATTGAGGAAAAAATCAACGCTAACTTGATCAAGATCCACATCACACAAGGAAACAGCTCCGGGGGCTTTACCATCTTCTTGATTAAGCTTCCTGAAAGTTAGAAATTTAATAGCATCCGCCTATCTGTCCGAAATCATTATAGAGTTCTCCCCTGCAAATACAATCAACACATTCAATTGGAGCCCAATAAATTCCCTACCATCAAATCTCCTTAACACATCAAGAATCATTCACCTTGAGATTTACTTCAAAACAACTTCAACATCTATTAATCAAAACAAGGAAAGAATCCACTGGATTTTAAAGATTACTTACTCCGTCATTGCAACTTCAACGTAAACCCACTTGCTTAACAACTCACAACTTGAATTCACCAAGGAAGGAGTGAATTTAGGCTCCCAAAAATAAAAAACCAAAACCCCCAAGTTCAGTTACCGAAGATGCACAAAAAAAGAATCAAATTCCACTAAGAGGAAAGAAGGTTAAACGAACAACCAAAGAAGCAAATGAATAAGTTACACTTCGGCAATCTTCTTGGAGGCAAACCCCATAGAAAGAAATCATCATTTGAAAATGTGACCGTTGAGGCATTGAAAATGAAAATAAACATTGAGAAATACTCATCATATTTAAGAGAGGAATTTAACGGGGGAAAAAAAGAAAATTTGTTGACTGGCGGCAGCTGCACTATTTTTTCCTTTTCCGGTGGTTCTTCCGTCTTGTCTTATTTTTAATTTTTTATAATATTTTAAATCGTCATAAATGTCAATTTAAAATATTAGTAAAAAACATATAAAAAATCGACGGATTTATAAAATTAATCTATGTTTATCACGTAAAATGGGATGGATATAAGTGACAATAACTAGGTAGCTGCACTATTTTTCTTTTTCTGGTGGTTCTTTCATTTTATTATGTCTATCTTATTTTTAAAAATTTTAAATATTTAAAGAAAAGTACTATACATTATTATAATTACAGACTTAAAATATTAGTAAAAAACATATTAAAATTCGATTGATTCGTAAAATTAATTTCTTAGTGTCACATAAAATGGGATAAAAGAAGTAACATGTATTATGTAATTTGGAAACTACGTAGAAAGTATTGTAAATCTTAATAATTAACAACATTTGATTGACTCTTGAAATTCTATTTGTTTAAGATACAATGTAATAAGAAAAGTAGCATATATTATTAAAAATTTACATCAAAAATATTGTAACATGTAATATTTAATTTTGAAAACTAAACATAAAAAGTATTGTAAGTCTCATTAATTAACAATATTTGATTGACTCTTGAAATTTTATCTGCGAATATATATATATTGAAACAAGAAAAATAATATATTATTCAAAAATCACATAAAAATTTATAAATTACAATAATTAACAACTTTAAATATTTAAAATCATATTAAAATTTAATTGACTATCTAAATTCTATCGATATCACGTAAAGTTTTTAAAAAAAATATTAGGCCCATACTAATATATATAAGAGGCTATGGAAATAACTCATAAACGAGCTTCCCTAGGCAGGGACAATATGGGAATTTACGGTTAGTGTTATTCTGAAATAATATTGTACATAGTGCTTTATAATTATACTTCTCCATTTCTTGGACATAAAAGCCAGCCAATTTTCCTTTTTATTTCCCTCAGTCGAAAAGCTTGGGGCAGTGTTTTTCTATTTTTCATTTCATTAATTATTCAACTGCCTTTCAATATATGACCTCACTTCGGTTTTTCTCATTTCCTTCTTGTCTCTCACATCTTCTTCTTTAGTTTTTTTCACTTTATTTACGCACTATTCTTACACTGTATTTAGATTAATGTATCATTATTATCTATTATATTATATTATTATTATATCTAAAATATTTATTTAGATTGTTATTTGCACTATATTTAAATTATTATATCATTATTATCCATTATATTATATCATTACTATATCTAAAATGTTTATTTAGATTGTTATTTACACTATGTTTAGATCATTGTTATCCATTATATTGTATTGTACCGTTATTATACTTACAATGTTTGTTTTGATTGTTACTTACACTATGTTTGGATCATTGTTATTATATCGTTATTATACCTACAATGTTTGTTTTGATTGTCACTTAAAATGTATTGTACTGTATTGTTAAATTTCGTTGTTACGTAACAATAGAACCCCCTATTTTATGGAACAACCAATTTGGTGTGTTCCCATTGTTACTTAATATTTTTTTTCCGATTATATCTTTACATAATATTTCAAGATACTATTTTACTTTTTACCTTAATTATTTAAATCTAGTCAAACCTCCTACCCTAGAATAATTAAAGATATTCAAGTAAATTTATAAATTACAATACAGTACGATATAATCAAACCATACAATTTAAATATTACTAAACAATAACAAACAATACAATCTAACCAAACATTGTATCCACCATACAATAGAGTACAATACAATACATTATGAAACAATAAGTAACAATGATCCAAACAAAGTGTTAAAATGTATTGTATTTTATTGTTAAATTTCGTTGTTTTGTAACAATGGAAATCCCTATTTTATGGAACAACCAATTTGGTGTGTTCGCGTTGTTACTTTTTTTTTCCAATTATATTTTTACATAATATTTTAAAATACTATTTTACCCTTTACCTTAATTATTTAAATATAGTCAAACTTTCTACCCTAGAATAATTAAGAATATTTAAGCAAATTTATAAATTACAATACAGTACGATACAATCACACCAAATAATTACAATATTACTAAATAACAACAAACAATACAATTTAGACAAACATTATATCTACCATACAATAGAGTACAATACAATACATTATAAAACAATTGGTAACAATGATCCAAACAAAGTATTAAAAATATACGTTATATATTTGCAAATTTTCTAAATCATAGTAGTTAATAATTTTAAATATTCTTTATATATTTAAAATGATATTAAAAACATTATAAATCACAAGAATTATCAAGATAAAATATTTTTTTAAAAAAATAAAAATTTAATTGATTCTTGAAATTTTATTAGTGACACGTAAATTTAATTAGATGGAATAACATAGAGTATTGAATATTAAATTTAATTAGATGGAATAACATAGAGTATTGAATATTATGTAAGCGATACTATAAATCACAACAATTGACAGTTGAAAATACTTAATAGAACATATACGAAATTTGATTGACTCTTGAAATTTTATTAGTGATACATGAATTTAAATAGATGGAACAACATATATTATTAAACGTTATATAATCAATACTATAAATTATAATAATTAACAGTTAAAAATACTTAATAAAACATATACGAAATTTGAATGACTCTCTTAATTACATATGTGTCATATAAATTAAAATAAAAGAAATAGAATATATTATTTAAAAATGAAAAAAAACATAAATCCTAGCAAACTAACAACTTAAAATAGTTTTTTAAAAAGAAAATACAAATAATTAATTGACTCTCCAAGTTTCTACGTTGAACGTAAATTGAGAGAAAAAAAGGAAACATATATTTGCATTGCGTGTGCATACTATATTTAATTATTCTTCTACATTAAGGCTCAAGGCTTCAATTTTTTTTTGCCCTTCGGTTCTTCCTTATTTGCTATTATTATTTATTAATCCAATTGACTAATTTTTTGCTTTCATTAATTCTTAATTTTCAACTTTTTTTTACTTTTATCTCTTGATATTTGCATTCGGTGTGCATTATGTATTAATTATTGATGAGTAAAGAATATCGTATGAATAGTGATAAAAATTATATTTTAATAGTACTTTAGTTAAAAATAAATAAATAAAATTTAGAAAATGATGGATATTATTATGTTAGAGTTTATTTATTTAATTATTTAAAGTTTCTCTCTATCTTCTAAGTCATGCTAAGCAGGTTAAAGTTATAATTTTTTAAATATTTTTTCTCAACTATATATCTTAAATAAAGTCGATTGAGTTAAAGCAATATTTTTTTTTTGTATTTTCTCTCAGCTATATATCTGCAATAGCACATTGAGGCTTATGAATATAATAAAGTAGTGCTATTAACTTTTAAGGTAGAGAATCTCTAATTTTCTTATGGTTTTAGAGAATATAATTTCTTATTAATATGAAAAGAAATTAAACTACTTGGATATCTTTAATATTGAAATATCTTTAAAAAAACTAAATATATATACTTAATTAAGTTATTTATAAATATGGACAAATTAGAAGGAAACAAATTCATTTATCCTATTTATTCCATATGGATTGTTGTACAACAGTTTTTACCAATCCCAAACATTATTCAGTTTGTACATATGGAAGTGATTTTTTCTCTTAATTGTTGTAATATAAAATATTTTTTTGTTTTTTATTTTATTATTAAATAAAAAGGGAGCATAAATAAGTTCAAGTTATCACCCCTAAAATTTCTCACTAACCACTTAACTTCTACCTCTCTTCAAAACTCAACTATATTTATGCCGTAACTCTACTTTTTGTTTCAAGTTCCACCGATTTAAAGATCATTAAAACTATTCAACTTTATCTAGATTTATATGACTTTTCAAAATTTAAATATCTATATATGTATATAGGAACTAAAAATAAGTATGATTTACATATTATATATTTTCATTTGTTCTTATTTTTTAAAGAGAAAAATGAAAAACATATTCGTAAATGGTATGCAGATAATCATCGTCATATTTTTGAGGCATTGGTGCTTATGCTGTCAAAAAATAATAGCATATATACACATACACGTGTCATAATCTTATCTACTGATCCGACATCGGATCAATGAATAAGATTGTACCATATGTTTGTATTAGTGAAGGGCGTATATACACTAGTTTTTTAATTGCAGGACACCAATGTCACAAAAATATGATGAAAGATATTTGTATACCATATACTATAGTTCGGGGATACATTTGTTCTTTTTCCCTTTTAAAAATGTAAATTATTTCAAAATTCAAATTATATATCAATTTTAAAACAAAATTAATGTTGAAATGAAGATATTTTGATCAATTTATCTATCTATTTGAATTTGAACTAAATGATACATGAATTTCCTAAAGATTATATAAACCGACATATACTAAGTACAGACCTAAACATGAAAAGCATTAAATATTTCATCATATTCTACTTGAATTCCTAGAAAAGAAAATATAAAGGGTGAGTACGGTGTTCCGAATACTTTAGGCGTCTTATTGCACTACCGGCAAATGTTTTGTGGGCAAAAGTAAAAAAAAAAACAAAGTTGATCTCGCAGTTTGAGTATTCTTCTGCAACCTCGAAAGGGGAAGGTGGAGAAATGGCGGTGAGAGGGAAAGCAATGGTGACGCTGCCGACGTTGGTGCGAGCTATGAGGAGGAGAACCTCAAATCATATGCCTTCGAATCAACCGTTGCCTTCACTGAGACGAGCATTCTCGCTATACGATCAAATCAATCTCATCGATAACGTCCCTGAAGATCAAATACGCTTCAAACAGTACTTTCCTATTCTTTAATCACTACATTAATTTTTCTTGTATTCCGGTTTTGTCATTGATTTAGGTGTACAATTGACCTATTTCATCTGAATAACACTTTGCAATTTGTTCATGTTTTTCTTACTTTTCAGTTTAGGTGTTTTAGGTTCAACCAATTATTTTCAGAGAGTAGAAGTAA